GTAATGTCCACGCTACCCTACTAGTAAATAATAGAAAAAAACTTCTGACAAAAAATGAGATATTGTACGGTAAATCAAACACACAGTGGACTAACTAGCCTTTGAAGAATAAACTTCATACATGAAGGTAATGCTGTTCAAATATCCACTGATCCTAAAAAAAATGTATCTGATCAACTAACAGATAACTGATCCATGGAAAGCTTCCTGATAATCACAGGCACATTCCCCATCACTTCCCCATGGGCTTCATTAAAAGATGGGTTGCCATTTGAAAACACACACCGACCTGTGATTAACAGCTCTCACCTGAGCCGGAGGAGGGGAGCAGAGCAGGGTGCACAGAGCACGTGCCGGCCAGGTGGTGCCATGTGGGGCCGGCAGCATGCCGGCCGGGGTCTTCCGGGCGGCGCGGCGGCGGGTCTTCCCGGGCGGTGGGGGTGAGCAGTTCATCTCTCCGTGCAGCCGGCAGATTAAAGCCCGCGGCTCCTCTTCCTCCGCACCTCTCCCCCTGAGCAGCACAGCTCTCACCTGCGCCGGAGGGGGGGGGGCGGAGCAGGGTGCGCCGAGCGCATGCTGGCCAGGTGGTGCCACGTGGTGCAGGCGGGCCGGCAGCGTCCTGGGCGTCGGGCACACACACATTCGCTCTATAAGACGCACAGACATTTCCCCTTACTTTTGAGGGGGAAAAAAGTGCGTCTTATAGAGTGAAAAATACGGTAAGTTCCTTACAAAACAAGGAAAAAGTAAAAAAAATCATTCACAAAGAGATGGTGGCTGTTTACCAGGACTCTGCACCTTCAGTATCTACTGTTCAAAAGTGGTCAAGTGAATTTAAAAGGGGCAGAGAAAGCACTGAAGACGACCCTCGCTCCAGCGGGCCAGTTACTGCCACTACGAAAGAAAATGTGAAAAAAAATGAGAAACTTGTATTGGAAGATGCCTGAATAAAAATTGAAATGTTAGCAGAGATGACAAACCTATCCATTGGTACCATATTTACTATTTTTCATGGCCATCTTAACCTTTCAAAGGTCTGTGCAAGATGGGTGCCGCGAATGCTCATGGCGCCTCAGAAACAAGTGCGAGTCGAGTGCTGTAGGGAGTTTTTAGAGCTCTGTGGTGAAGACCCATCGAGTATTTTTGACCGGATTGTTACTGGAGATGAAACTTGGGTTCATCACTATGACCCTGAAAGTAAGCAGGAGTCCATGCAGTGGCATAAAAAATGTGCTGACCCTCCGAAGAAATTCAAAGTCACTCCATTGGCCGGAAAAATCATGGCCAGAGTGTTTTGGGACTCAAAGGGAATTTTATTGATTGAGTACACGAAAAAAGGTGAAACCATAAATGCAGCATCTTACGCAACCACTCTGCGTAATTTAAGAGAAGCAATTAAAGAAAAAAGGTGGGGAAAACTAACCGCAGGTGTGTTGCTTCTTCACGACAATGTGCCTGTTCACACGGCGCATGTTTTGAAGGCTGCTGTGCGAGACTGTGGATTCAAAGAAATAAACCACCCACCCTATAGCCCGGACCTGGCCCCCAGTGACTACTACCTATTCCCAAATTTAAAAAAATATTGTGGAAAGTGATTTTCCGACGACGAAGAGCTCAAGGCAGCAATTAACGCACATTTTTTAGACAAGGAGGAAGGGTATTTTTTACAGGATACTGAAAAGTTAATTTCTAGATGTAATAAGTGTATTGAAGTTATGGGGGATTACATTGAAAAATAAAAATCATTCCAATTTTTATTCCTTTTTCTTCATGCTGATACCGAGAATACATTGAATGCCCCTCATAGTTCAGTCCTCCCCTGCCCCTCCTCAGCCAGGATGGAAAGCACCACAAGGGCTGCCTTTCTGATGTTGTACACTCAACCTCAAGGGTTGGGGGCAAGAGAGTGGAGCCAGGGAGGTGCTTCAGAGAGGGCGACAGGAATGCTGCAATGGAGGCAAGGTAGCTCAAATCCTGGCCCCTGCAGACTTTCTTCTCTCTCTCCAAGATGCTTCAGTTAGGCAGCCAGACATCGCCATCTAATGTAAATCCAACATGGGAAGTGTGCGGAAACAGAACTTGCTCCAACCCCTCTGCCTGCTCTGCACGGGATGCTGCTAAGCTTCCTAGTTTGGGGGCCTGCTACAGGCATTAGGAACACAACCTTGAGGACTGCATCCTAAACCATCAATTCCAGCAAGGAGCACTCTGTAAGACTGCTCTGGGCCCCACATTCATAATTAGAACTCATTCTTGTAACCTAACTAGGCGGTAGCTTGTGTAAAATGTTACAATTTTTCTCTAATTAGTTGATTCTCATGTTACCTTTCGCTTTTTAATTTTCAGTCTCACTTTACCATAATGTTTTCACAAAAACAACAGAAGTTTCATAAGCTCAAGCCTAAACCACTTCTGTTTTTAAATATCATACTGAATAAATATAAAGATAAAACGTAAATACTTTGTATATTACTATCTTTTAAAAATAGACATGTATGTGCAAGATATGAATAAAGCTGTAAGGTGATTTAAAATATATTTAAGAATATCTAAAATATCTATATATTCATTTGCAGCAAACAAGACTATCTTGCCTTCTATGTGGCATTCTAACTTGACATTTTTCATTTCTAAATGAACTTTCAGGACTATGATCACTATTATTAACCATGAATTCAAACTTTTTTATTCAAATGTCATTTTAACTGTTAATACTATTTATTTATTTTATTTTTCGGCCAGGGTGACTTATTTTATATTGTAAACTTGTTTTGTATTTTATTGTATTATATTTTAATTGATATATTTGTGAGCCACCCCGAAGCTTCGGCGAATGGGGCGGCATAGAAATTTTATAAATAAATAAATAAATAAATAAAATTCTGAGTCTTTCTCCTTGGTCCAGGTAAGAAAACTTTCATATAGAAGCAGGCTTCCTTATGCATATCAATTGTTGGATCAGGAAGTGTGGATGTAAATCAGTGCATTCTCTTTCTTTCAAATGGATTCAGCTTGACATTTCATTAATTTTAATTGGGTGCACCTAGGAATCTGTGTCCACATCCACTTCCTGCCACAGTTATTCATGGAAATAAAATCCTTTATTTAATCTTTCTATTTCTCTCTCTTTTACATTGTATTATTGTTTTCCCTTGTGTTAAAAGTGCTCTAGTTTTGGCAAGGGTGTGTGTGTGTGCAGATGTTTTTTAAAACTATGGAGCATAGAAAATAGCTTCTGTAAATGTATACACAGTATTGGACAATGACAATATGAAAGAGCAGGATTCATCTAATAAGATACTTTTTTTTTTTCACAAAACACATGAAGTTGCCCCTTGTTTGTATCAGTTGGTTTTCAGAAAAAGTGCAAGATGCCAGTAGAGAGCTGATGTATGGTGGCTAAGAGGTAATGCAAGCTGGAAAGTTCTTGGTTCAATTATTGCCTCAGCTACAAACTTCCTGTGTTGCCTTCAACATACTGTCAGCTGTCTTGTTTCCACCTCCCCCTTTTTTAATCTGCAGTTTTAGTTAAAGTAATACTGATCAAATTTACAGGACTTTTCTAAAGATTACTGAGCCCGTATTATAGGAGGTGCAGTCAAAGAGAGCAGATGTTGTTGGTATTTATCATCATCATTAATATTATTTGTAGGGCCAGACTTTGATAAAGATCCAGACATGTTATATTATGCAGGAAGAAAGCTGTGCAGTGTAAATTTCTTTGAAGTACTGCTGGTCATAGATTATGGTGTATAATATCTTAATTCTTTAGCAGTGAGAACTGCTCTGTGCTGTTTTTCTCTGTACTGGGTATATGTAATTAGTTTCATTACTCTGTCTTTAGGTTCAGTCATAGAAGTGCTGACCAGTAGATTCTGCAAGGATACATATAAGATAGTACTTTAAAAGCTTTTTAATGTTATGTTTTGTAAATCAGGATTAAAGTTTAGTAAAATGGCAAACTGGGATGAAAATGATCTATTAATATGTCATTGTAGAATTTTCAGAACAAAGCAGTAGGTTGTTAGTGGAAAAATGAGACCGATGTTTTTCAAGTGAATTGTAAATTTCCAATCAGTTAGCATAACCTGTAAACAAGGTTCAATGGCCAACAGACACTGCTGCTTATGTACCAACAGGACTCACTGCTAGCATAATAAGGAGCAAGTGGTTCTTAAAGCAACTGGGAATGAATGGAAACATTAGTTTCCAGAACAAGAGACTAAAGAAGGGGTCCTCAAACTTTTTCAACAGGGGGCCAGTTGCAAGGCGGTGCTGGTGGGGGGCGTGGGCCAGTGAGGGGACGGTGGTGGGCATGCACGGCAGGGCAGCAACTCCTTCGTGGACATCGTTTTCTCCGAGCGAGTCCAAAACAATCTCCACGTGAGGAAGCCGTTGCCATGTGCACGCACACGTGGGCGCGGCGAGTCCAAAATCTGGCCCATGGGCTGTAGTTTGAGGACCCATGGGCTAAAGGAATTTGCAGAAGGAAGCTCTGGCGATCTGTCCTGATTCAGCAAAGAGGCTTTCCAGCTTTGCTTGAGGATGCACTAATTCCCCAGTGTGGTAGTGGTGGGTCCCAATGACATAATGGAATGAGTGGAGGTTCAGCGGCACTATGGATACCACTTCTGGGGTGAGGGGGTTTGGAGAAAATACATCCTCGGTATACAAATAATTTCTATCTTTTAGAAAAACCTGTTCCTTAGTATTATTACTGTAATATGTAATGCTTGGTAATAATATTTAAAATGTTATTACAATTTCTTATAATGTGATAATATCTGTTTAGGTGCTAGGCAACAAACTGATGCAGTTTGAGTAAACGTTTAACTCATCAGATTTAACAATGATGAATCAAATGTGAAAACTATTAATTTTTATTGATAAGACAACTATAGATCTCTTATAAAATCACATGGAATTGCAATATTGTGCATGAAATAACTTTTTTCTTTAAGAAAATAATTCATCTGTCATAATCACAACATACAATTTTCTTAATTACTGTACGTATATTTTCTTGCAATGCTCTGGCTGTCTATAAATAATGGATCCACTGATGCAACCTTAGCAGCTATAAATGAGTGAATACAGTTTAAAACTGCTGTCAAGTCCTGAAATTCTAGTTCCTGAAATGAGAATAAGAAAAAAATGGTAAAGTAAAATTTTACAGGACAAAATGCGTTAGAAACATAAATAATAATTTACGTATTATATCCCGGGATTTATATCAAATGTAACATTCTTTCACACATGTCAAGTGACAATAATATAGTAATTGATCTGAGAAATGTATTTGCAATTGTTGACCTTGCCAATAGTCCAAAAACCATTTCAAAAAACAAAGAACTTGTATTCTGCATTCTGCATGCACTGCCTAAGCAAAGTACAGTGGCCATGCTAGCAGCATGGGCTGAGCATGGGTTGAACACCTGGTTATCTATGACGTTTGCTTTAAGTATTTTCCAGACAAGCTGCTGGAAATATGGTGCTGGAAAACCATTTGTGTATGTGTGTACAAAGCGGGAATTCTATCACATATTACTAGTGCTGTCACCAAAATATTGATTGAAAGAAATCTTAACATGCTTTAATTCCCCCTAAGGTATAAAAACTGGGAGAAGAATTTCAAAGAAAGTTTAAAAAAACACATTTTGCTGAAACTTCTTAGGGTCTTTGGAGGATTTCTAATTTCTCAATTTTGTCTAAAATGAAACTCTAATTTCCTTCTCAGGTAAAAGACACCTGAGGAATTTCAAGATGAAGCCAGCCATAATTTTTAAGGTGGTATCTTACATCTCCATAAATTATCTCCAATTTCTAAATTACTTTTTTTCTCTATGATGACTAAAAACTGACAGTATTACCTCCTATAGATTGTCAAATTGTGAAGGCTGAAGTCCTGCTCACAGTTACGTAATGTTAAATTTCACTGAAATCAGTATAAATGACTTGCATTTAGATCTATTGAGGATATTGAGGTAGAAAAGACTGTTTTTTGCTCACTACGTCTCTGAACAGTAGTAAAGCGTGTAGTTCTTGACAGAGTTTCCTTGCACGGAGAGAATAGTGGAGAATTATGTCTGCAGGTTGGTCAGACAGTTCCATGAAAAGCACTACTAGCCCCCAAACACCACTCCCAATTTCTTAGAACCTGTTGTTATCTAGAAACTGTCAGTTTTACTCTTTTTTTATGTTTGTATGCAAACTAACCTCTCCCTTCCTTTCCTACTGCTGCAGAATCAGCCGTGACTGGGATGTAATATTATTTCAGCACAGTGGCCACCAGCCAATGTCAAATTCATTAACCAGTCAATAGAAAGGCAGTTTACATAATCAAAGAGAATGTTTAGAGCAATATATAATTTTGTGTGCATTTAAAATATTAGTCTGTCCCAATCTAGAGATGACCTTGTACACCTGTAAGCCCTTTACTATCTTCTTCATGGGAAGACTCCCAGAACAGATGTCTCATACTGTCAGTGGTCGGAAGGACAATGGAATTGGATGTTTTTCTTCTTAAATCAACTATTTAAGAAGTAAATACATATTCCTACCTACAGATTGTTTTCACTGACTTGCAATAACTGTTTTAGAAAATTTAAACTGGTGAAGATATGTATATGGAATGTTTGTTCTGAAAAACCATTGTGTGAACTTTTCAGAAGTTTTCCAGTATTTATAATTTTTCTCTTAATCTCACTATCACGTTTTGCTTCTGTCAAGTAACATTATGTTCCCTGAAAATCTATCAGCCATGATTTACTAAAGAAAAACATTGTAGCATGAAAATGCTGCTCAGTTTATGTTTTCAATACAGTATACATCATACCAGTTCAGCTGCAAAAATGCATTGCACTTAAGAGAAAAAATGTTCAGTTTTTAAGAGGGCATTGATTAAGTACACTGGGCTGCATATCAAGTTTGTCAAGGCGCAATACATGGTCCTGTACATCAACACAAATCAAAAGTGTTAGCAAGTTGCTTTTGGAACTACTATATTTTACAAATATCTTCTGTCCAATGTTTTTTCATGTAATATGTCTGTAACTCATTGAGGACCAAGTTATAATCAGTAAATTACTTTCCTGTTTAGGACGTACTATTGACCTTGCAAATGTTCTCTGTATTACAGTTGATCAGTCAAAGTTTTACATTACTTTAAATTCCAACTTTTCTGAATGGATTCTATTTTTATTGCCCTGAGCAAACACAAATATATCCAAGGTATGCTACTGATGCCAACAGAAATAAGCATGCATGGAAAAAGTAATTTAATTTAATTTTTAATTTAAAAACATTTTATCCCATCCTTTCCGATAAAATGGTGATATTAAATTATAGTAATATAATGATATAATAATACAATAATTAAATGATAAATAATAGGCAAACATAAAACAAACACTTTCATAAAACTAAAGAAAAGGAGGAAAGGAAGAAAAAAGAAAATAAAATGTGACTGCAATCAGATCTTAAAATATCTAACATCCTTAATTATTAAAACGATGGCTGAATAAAAAGGTCTTTACCGGGCGCCGAAAAGAGTATAAAGTCGGCACCAGGCAAACTCTCTGGGGAACGCATTCCATAGTTTGGGCACCTATGTAGTCTTGTAAGCAAATGAAGCTCAACCCCATCAAGCACACTCTCTTAAAAATGAAGAAATATTCACATAATAGTTCACTGTAAGTGAGGTAATGCCAGGGTCTTCTACATGTTTCACAACCAGTATACAATCAGTGAAGCACAATATTGCTAGAGACCATGCAAGAAATCAAGAATTCTACAGCTTGCAGTATGCACTATTTGAGTCACGGGTCATAATGCCAAGTACATGGGGAACTTATTAGTGGATTAGTACTGATAAACACGGTAGATATAACTGAGAGTGATCCTAATCCTTGTCACCTAATCAGAATAGGACCAAATCTTGAAAATAGTTCTAATGGCTGCAAACTAAAGCTGTATGCTAATTTTTCTAAAATGATGATCTTGCGTCATGAAGATATTAAGGAAAGCTATTTTGTTGTTCTGTGTAAGTTAAATTGTCCTGCAGTGCAATGCTTACTATACTTGCAATTAGTTTATGTTTGACAGTAAAATCCTGTACATATTCAAAAGCAAGTCCTTTCCAGTTCAATATGAATACAGCCTAAAGGTTAATACTTTGTTCCCACACATGCAGTAGTCTTCTTGCTCTCTTCCACCCTGCAATCCCCTGCATACACCTTACAGGATTTTCTAATCTTGGATGCATTTAGAATGCATGTGGTGCTGCAAGGAAAAAAGGAACTCTGACCTGCCAAAAGTTTCCTCTCTGTTGGTAGACAATCAGCACTATTTAGTTCTAGGGCTGTAATTATACAGCACTACTTCATCTTTATTCTGCAAGTTTAAACTTTTGTAATTTTTCTACATTGTAGCAAGGGAAATGACCAGATCAAATTCAAAGAAATTTATCATATATGAAAGTAACAACCATTAAGCTAAGTAAACAACTCGTTGATAATGGGAAAATACTCAATGCTTCTCCTTTCTGTCTTTGTACCACCATACCTCTTTAACACATGAATCTCCTTGGTACTGAAGTATTTAGAAGAAACTGGAACTTTCAGTTGGACAGGCATGTTAATCTGCTGCAGAAAAAACAGCAGAGTCTTGTAGTACCTTAAAAGGTAACAAATTAACTACAGAATAACCTTTCATGGACTTGCCCATATGCTGAATATGAATGGCAAACATGGACTAAATTTCATTTTTTATTAGGTTGTTATTAGGTTGATGTTTGTCTAGAAATATTGCATTTTTGCTTAAGTTCTTATACTGGAATCTTGTGTTTTACTGATCTTTGTAAGACCCTTGCTGTATGAACAGCTTGGATAATCACCTTTATCTTATTATTGCTGTTTACTCTGATAAGTAGTTATTATGGTCCAATCTAATAGACTCTCAACATAGTCTGAGGAGCCATAGATTATGCTGAGGAACGAACAGAATAGGCAACCATCTTTCTTTCCAAGAAGCTCTTGTCTGTATTTGGGGAAGGGAGTAAGAATCATTTGCTTGTGAAAGATATGAGATGAAAAAGGGGGAGGGGGGAGGGAGAATTGCTGCCCTGGGCAAGGGATTAGAGTTTATCTATGGGATGAGAGGAAGGAGAAGCTGAGAATGGACAAGGTATTCTTATATTGAGATAAGCTGCTAGAAAGATGAAAACTTTCCTTTTGTGAACTTTCCTAAGTTCTCTTAGACTCCAAGCCTATACTTAGCACCTACCACTTCAGAACAATAATTTCTCATTCTTTAACTCTTTTTCAGTTTTTCTCATTTGTGCGAGACTTCTCTTTTTAATTTAGCTGCTAAGGCAGCTCGGGTGAAAACAGTATAAAATTATGCAAAATAAATTCAAATACCATTTGCTTTGTCTAAAGTGGAAACTAGTAATGAGGCCAGTGCACTGTTGTAGCCAGGCACCCATTTAGCACATCCGCAGCCTCCCCTTACTGAAGAAAAAAAGAGAAATAGATCTGTGTCTCATCAGTGTATTGATGACAGTGCTTTCCAAAACTCCAGATGACCCTGCTCAGTGATTTCCTGTAGATATTAAATATGTGTGGAACAAGATAGCCCAATGTGCAACCCCACACTGGAAACTTGGCTGTGCAATATTCCCTAGCACCACCTTCTGGAGCTGGCCATTCCAATAGCAGCAAAACCATCACAGTGCAGCACCCCCTATTCCCAACTCAGCCCAGAGGGATGCCATGGTTAATGGTAATAGATTACTGGATTACTATTAGCTTAACTGTTCTGTGGAGAAACTATTTTAATTCAACTTGCGACTGCAGGAAAGCAAGAGGGTCAGTAGTGCTGAAGTGCAGGAGCAAACTGGAACAAAGGCTATATGGATTAGTATTCTAGTAGTAAAATGTTTTTGAGTATTTTCTTGGAGAGAAAACAATGGAGATTTACAGTTGTAGGTTCCAGAAAATGCATGGTTAATTTTTGTAGTTCATTTTTCTTTGCTTAGGATCACATTTTATTTAAGGCTGGGAGAAGAGAAAATGGCAATAAGGGTTTGGGAAGATTCTTTGGAGCTCTATTATCTCCCTATATCACAATGTAGCAGAATGCATTTTAACATGGGAAAAGAGTAGTTTGTCCAAAAGCCAGTGATATAAAATTGAATCTCACTGGGGGAATTCTTTTCTAAGAATGAAAGATGCAAACAGGAAAGCTTAGGAAAACAGTTTTCATAAACCTAACTATGGTGTTTATTGCCAACCAAATGCTGAAATATTTCTGTACTGGGCTTCTGTTGACATTTACTAGCTTATCTATCAAGGGGAATGAAACTTGCATTATTTGATGACATTTTGTCTTTCTCATTATTGGTTACACTTTCCTATCCAGCACCATCTGCCTTTCCTGCAAATCCTTCAACCCCATCACAAACTCGGTCATTGCTACACTAGGAACTGCATCAATAATAAATGTTGAGGTTATCAGCTTTCCTTTCTGCTGTGAACTAGCAATGAATCCAAAACATATCTTGAAAGTTAGTATTGGTCTGTCCCCTGAGCCCATCAATCATTTTTCATTTGTTCTTCTGCCAACATCTTTAAGCTATGTGTACATGAGTATTATTACAAGCAAGAATATTTTATGCAACTTGGGAAAAACTTCATATTATTTTGCAAAAACTAATGACTATCTTCATGAAGAAGTTCTGAAAGGTTCTGAAAACTACTCAGGATCAATTGCCAACTGACAATTTTTTTTAAAACTGGACTTCAGTTGCAAATAGTATTTTTTGTTAACCAAATGCAATGTTGAAAAGATGCAATCTGGCTGGAAAGTTTCTGTGTACGTTAGGGAGTGGGTGATTATCATGTCACTAGTATGCTCACACACAGAACAACACAGCAGTGCTCTTCTCTCTCACCTGCATAACAAAAACACTTTTGGTGTGCTATAGTCACAGCTGCAACAGATGGTAGCTATATGCAAAGCACGAATGCAGCAACTTAGGCATCTGGGTAATTTATATGAAGTAATTAATTAGCATTTATATGGGTATAATCCAGTGGAGATGCCCATAAGCATCTGAACTGAGAGGATTATAGGTGTCCTATGCAGGACGGGGAAGTGGTAGAGACAATCCTTGTGTCCCTGCTCCTTCTGCCTGGCAGGTCACCTAGATGACCACTTTCAGCTGTCTAGCTGGCCCAGTTCAGATGCGGAGGGAAGGAGCTGGAGTGCCACTGCATACATCCCATCCTGGAAATGCTGGTCTACTCTGCCCAGAATGCTCCCTCAGCCCTTCTTTGAGGTCACAACTTCAGAGAAGCAGCCAACACAGTTTTTTTCCCCAGTGGCTGCTCTGTGTGTGTGTGTGTGTGTGTGTGTGTCGAGGGGACTAAACACAGAGACCCAACTTCTGAGATTGGAGCTCTTTTTCTGACCTTGAATCCGGGAATCCAAAGCATCCGATGGTACCCTAGATGCTCTCTAAAGCCTGTAAGATTGCTCTTCCCATCTACTGTTTATTGTGGATTTCTCTTATGGGTACTAGTTACTGATGCTCAGAACTCAGGATCCCTGTCTGTTAAGGGCCAAATGATGACTCTCCATACTAGCGTCACAATGTAGATCAGCTCCATGTGCCTGCAAATATTTCTTAAAAAAGAATCTGCTGCTGGATACATATTTAAAGGAATCGCTGTTACACATAGAAATGGTAGTTTGCATTTATGTATCAGTTATCATGTCTCATCTCGTTTCAATATCAATAGCAAATTAATTACTGAAATATCAGCATTTTGTGTCCTGTTTACCTTGGAAAAGGTGTAACTGAAACCTCTGTATTTCTATGAAATGTGAACAAAAACACTAGATTTTCTTGATAAGAGTTCAGTTGCATTTAACATGGCAATATGCATTACACACCTTTGTCTCAATTTGTTTTGTTTCTGTATTCTGAAAAAGCAGCTTAACTCGAGTTTTTCCATCATCTGATGATCCCTTGAGCTGAGAAAATTTAAACCTCCAGAGGACATTCTATAAAGAAAAGGGAGATAGTCAGCATTTGGATGGGATCCCTCCTTCTGTCCCTCTTAGGTGTATACACATGATTTTCTATATAACCATAACAGTGTATAAATATGAGATGCATACATATAAAATACAAATTTTATATAAATTTCAATAAAAGTGGACCAGATATCAAGACAGTATCCATTTGAAGGGACCATTTATACGCTGTCCATTTAAATCCATTTTTTTGTTCTGCTTCAAATTACAGGTTAGATAGAGATAAAGGTGACTTCAGGGGAGTGGCAGTAGCTGACTTACTTTCCAGAAGCTCCCCAAGGAAACCTTGAATGGTGTGACCTATAGCACTGGGAGGAGCTGGCTGGGGAAAAGAGGGAGGCAACTTCAGTGAGCAGAGGTTATCTCTGCATAGTTTTCAGGGTTTTCCCTTCCTCTATTATTTATTAAATTTATCTATCACCTAACTGGCAGATGCACTTGGATCCAATTACAATAAAAAACCTTCAACAAAAACGAACTGAAAGCCATGAAACAATAAACACCTGAGTTAAATATTAAAACAGTAAAAATATTTTTAAATAGAAAAAGCAGTAAAGCTAATAAATGGAGCAACAGCTTAAAGACTACATGCTTGATGGAAATTAGGAACAGAAGGTGTCTAGATGCATACAGCAAAGATGCCAGTAGAACTTCTTGGGAAGGGTGTTCCATAGACCAAGCGGGGACACAATGTGGAGAAGGCTATCTGTTGTACAGTTGTGGGTGTCAAGCTCCAGCACCCAGAGAGGAAACTCTGGAGATTATTTTAGCAATCAGTCAGTCCCACAATCTATAGCATCTTCCTGGGTATGCAACTCACAGAAAGGGCATTTGGGTGCTCGGATGGGGCAGGAATGGGCTTCAATGGAGAGGATGTGAAAGACAGTTTCTGCCAGTACCTTTGTACACAAATTTATCTTTATTTAATTTCTCGTGTCTGTGTGTGTGTGTGAAATATTGAACAATGTAGCAAAAAGTAAAATATGCAATAAGCTGTCTTACTATACTTTAAGAAAGGTGACAGAAATTATATTCTTTGAGAATAATATTAACAAAGATACTACTTTACTTACTTCTCAACACAGAGAAAATTTATGTAATATTTCTTTCACATTTAATTTGGCTTTTATCTAGTGTGCATTTTTATTTCTTTATTCAATATTAGTGCTATGGAATTCCATGTTCAAAAATACTTAGGGTGCAATCCTATGCATAATTAGATAAAAAGAGTCCTACAGCTCCCAGCTGGTTGTAAAATACTGGGAACTGTAGGACTTTTCTGCCTAAACTTGTATAGGATTGCATTTCTAATTGCAGAAATGTGAAATGAAACACTGTTGTCACTAAAACATTCTACAGAAAGTTATATTATAGTTGCATTTACTGGGTTTAATGTACAATAAAGTCAGGTTGCTTTCCTGTAACTGTTCTTTGAGTGGTCATATGGGTTCTGTGCATATGTGTGTGGAGCTTGTTCAGGAAGGCTGCAAAGCTGATTAATTATTGTTCAGTGGGACTGCCTCCCTCGGACATGCCCTGCATGCAGGAGGGAGCTCCTGCCTGGTCCTCAGGTCTAGAAATTATATTGAGACAGTCACTGTGTGGTTCTGCCCAAAGGGGACAGTACTGTCAAGGATCTGTGGTTGTATCCAGGCAACACCAGTGCGGCTGACAAGAGGGTTTGTGTGAATGCATAGATGACCACTTGAAGAATGGCAGTTGCAGGTATGCAACTTACTTTCTTCTTCATGGTCTCTGTGCATCAGACATATGGGAGACTGGTGAGCTTACCTCATGGAGGTGGGTAGCTTTGCTAGCAAAGAATTGAAGATAGGACCGCCCTGCTGAAGGCACAGTCTGCTCTGGGTTGAACATCTAGGTGGTGGTGGTGTATGAAGGTCGACGGATTCATCCCTGTCACGGCTCTGCATAGGTCTCATATTGGCATTCCAGTATAGAGACTTGTGGAGATGGCCATTACCCTGGTGGAGTAGGCACGAATAGGGATGGTCGGTTGTACACCAGAAAGTTTGTAGGCTAAAAGGATTATGTTTACTACCCATTTTGGCAACCTCTGTACAGACATGGATGACTCCTGGTTTGTGGTTCCATGGGCGACAAAGAGTCTTTGTGACCAATGGATGGGTTCAGTCCTGGTCCTGTAAAAGGCCAAAGCTCTGTGGACACTGAGGAACTGAAGCATTGACTCAATCGGGCCAGAGGGTGATGTGAAGAAGGCTGGCAAAATTCTGGCTTTGTTAAGGAGGAAGGAAGAGACCACCTTGGGTAAGAACAAAGGAAATAGAAATAAAGGGGAATACCTTGTCTCTTTGAAAAATGAGGTACATGTAGTCAGAGGGCAGCCTGGTCTCTTGCCTAGCAAGTAGAAGTGATGGCCACCAGAAAGGCAGTCTTCCGCAACAGGAGGTAGAAGTCAGTAGTGACTAGAGGCTCAAATGGCTTCTTTGTAAGGGCAAGAACCACGAAGAGGCTCTAGGCAGTTGTAGGTGATTGGGTTGATGGGGCAAGGTTGCTGAGGCCTTTTAGAAACCAACAATGGGGAGATGGGAGAAGGCGGAGTGGGCCAGAAATGGGAGACAGAAAGTGGAAAGTGTCTGCCAGGTACACATGGATCAATGCAGTCTTGAATCCCCTTTGGTATAGGGCAATCAGAAACAGTAAGAACTGTTGTGCCGTGGAGCTGTGAGGCTTAACGTTGTGCTCTGTGGCGAAGTGGGAGAAGGCTTCCCACTTCGTGCAGTATGAACATCTGGTTTTAGGTTTCAGGGAGGCCTTAAGTATGAGATGGAGGTCTGCAAGTACATTGGTTAGGGTGCCAGTGTTAGCTGGATCCTCCAAGCCCTGAGACAGAATGTGTGGATCTCTGAGTGGAGAATGATATTTTGGTTCCAGGAAATGACATCAGGCTCTAGAGGTAGGTTCAGGAAGGTCCAATTGGAGAGATCTAGGAGGTGAGGGAACCCTGGTTGCCTGGGCCACCATGGGTTACAAGGATGCAGTCTGTTTGGTCCTGGTGGTTCTTTGTCAGGACCTTTGTGAAAGGAAAAAAGAGGTAGAACAGGTACCGCTCCATGTTAACAGGAAGTTGACCATCACTGAGCCTGTTTCTCTTCCCATCCTGGAACAGAAGCGGCTACATTAGAATCATCTTTTGTTGTGAACAAATCCATGTGGGATCAGCCCCATTCTGTGCATAAACGATTTCACACAAACTGGTTTAACTCACATTCATGGCAATCTGTGGAGGTGAAGCTGAGCTGTCTACCAGCACGTGGCTGGTAACAACTATGTGGATCATTGCCTTGACTTGTACATCATGTCCAGATCTTGGCTGCGAAGTGTGCTCTCCATCCAGAAAGCAAGGCATCTGCTGCAATCACTAGGTTCAAGTCTGGAGGAATAAAGGTCACACCAGTGGAGGTATTGCAACTGTTGGTCCACCACTTGAGATCTCTGTGGATATGAGCCAGGATCCATAGCCTGGTTCTGTGCAATTCAGTCCTAAGGTTGAAAGAGCTGAGGAACCATAGCTGGAGGGGTTGCATATGTAGGCAGGCCAGCAGGATGAGAGCAACCTCCATGATTCCGAGGACTCTCTGTATTTTGATGGTGTTGGCGGACCAGTTATATACCAGGGTGGAGATCTCCATGACAAGACTTGAGGTTGTGGGTTTGACAGAGTTGGACTCTCCTGAGCTGGTCTCTGAACTGGGGAGGAGTGCCAGAGAGGCTTGGGCTCAGGCACCATGTCTTTATTATGTGGAAGGCTGCTTGTCACAAGGCTTTTTTGCATGCTTGTCATAATCTTCTCCTTTTTCCTAAGTGCCCATTTCAGAACTCTTCACCTTCTTAACCATGTTTTGGTTTTCAAGGCCTTGGCTAGGTAAAGAAAGAAAGGGTGTAACAAGAGGAAAACAATCAAGAAAAGAGTAAGTTATGGTAAGGCTACTATCAACAGAGGAAGAACTTCCTGGTGTACCCATGATGGCAGTCGAAGAAGAACCGAGGACTGGATGGGAGGTCCTCCACACATTAGGGTGTGTCCAAGGGAGACACTCTCACTGAATAAAATTAATCAGCTTTGCAATCTTCCTGAACAAGTTCCACACAGGGACACAGAGCACATAGGTATGATGCAGAGATCATGAAGAAGAACTACTGTTGAAAAAAAGTATTAGAACTTGGAACTGATTTCAGAAATGAACAAACACAGGAAAGCTTATCCTCTGGTATTTATATCTTGCCCTAGGTTCATGGGGACATAGGGACATGCTACAAGCTTAAAAGAACAGTCACTCAGAACAACCTGGAGATCCTGTTAGGTATAAAGGACAGAGGACTGAATAGTGCTAAGGAAAACTTCCTCAGATGACAGCATAATTATTTGGAGATGTTTCTCTTTGTAAGAACCAGGCCAATGCAAACATGTCTCTGTTCAGCCTCAGAGATCATTCATAGCAAACACCTTTGTTAATACATGGTTTATGCTCATAGAATCTTTGTCACTTCTTTTCTTTTCCTAATGTCAAAATGCATTCTCTATGGTTTTCCCCAATTTTATTTAAAGTTTTGTTCTTGTTAGAAAATCAATGAGCCCATTGCTGTGGTTCAACACTGCATAGCTTTCTCTAATAAATACATTTAGTCAGAGCAGTATTTTATTGATTAGACATTCTGTTCTGTCATTAAACATTGACAGAGGTAATGTAGATGTAATAATCTTCCTTTTCTGACTGAAAATGTATTGGCTAATTTGATATGAGTAAGCCTTCTTCCCTTAAATCAAATTTATACTTTTAAAGTCAAATCTAAGCAGTTCGAAAAGAGCTTACTTGATTTATCCAACTAGATTTCCATTAGCTTACAAATAACTTACTTTTTCAAAAGTATTTTTTTAAATAGGTTTGTGTTTATGTGCCTGTTCATGGTAGAAAAATTGCAGCCTAATTTCCTTTTCAAGCATTTCACAACTTAACTTGCTATATATATTCAGTGCAATAGCAGTTCAATACAATGTTATGCATTGTTTAGTTGACACAGCAAGCAATACTCCGGGGGGGTGGGGGGTGAAGGGACAATCTGAAGGTGGTGAAAGACAATAAGGAAGAGAGGAAAAAGTGAATACATCACCAAAAAAACAAAGTATGCTTTTTCCTTTAGAATAATTGTGCTGACATGCAGTTTTATGCAGGCTTAATCAGTGATGCAGGCAGTGAATAAACTAATTCCTACAATTAATTGAATAAGATTAACTTAATTGAAGGCATGTCCAAGTTATTTCACAAATCATATTTTCTTAGATTATTTTTATATTGCCTAGATTTGGGTAATTCATTATTGTGCATTATTGCTTGCTTTTACTTTTGAATTATTTTGAGCCTTTACATTATTGTAATATTGCATTTGGATTATTCTGGATCATGTGATATGTGAATGTTTTTTATTTTCAAAATAAAAATAATTTTTAAAATAAAATTAAAGAAAAACAAAAGCAGATTAGTGGGCCTACACTGAGAGAACTTTCACTTCCTGTAGTAATACCAGTGGCAGATTTGACATTTAATCCAACATAGCTGTCCAACTTTGTCTTGGTCCTGGACTAATTTAGATAACATCTAAGCTGTATGGTTTTGCTAGAGGAATCTTTTGTGAGTTGACACAGTCCTATTTGTTGCTTCTAATTTGTGGTATTGTTACAGTGACCCAACATGAGATAGCCTTAATTATGATCTTAAATTGGCAAAGGCTTTTTATAGGCGAGGGGATCATTGAATTTTCTTGGTTTTTTAAAAGAAAATGTGTAATTCTGGGGGGAAAACCAAAGCAAAATAACCAAAACAGAAACTAAAATGTGAAACACCAGGTCATTAAGTAGAGGTATACAAATATGTCCATGTATGTTCAGAGCAGCTTAGTTCTGAGTAAGCCTGCTCTGAATTCTAGCACAGTGTTTTACTGCCCCTCCCTGTCTTTGACAGGGAGAGTGATTCCTTCAGCCTTCAAAATTACCACACTCTTATCTTAGTTGACAGTTCCCTGCTCCTGCTCCCCCACTGTCAGAACACTGACAAAAACAGTGGAATTCAAAACTGCATCAGGCCTGTCTAAAAAGGTCACATGATTATAGACTGCTCCAGGTAGTTTATGAACACCAAGTTTCACCTTATTAGCATACATATGTGATTTTTATAAGCAGGTGAATTTTGAGGTTGGAGGACCAGCAGCATTCTAGGTTCAGAATGAAACTGGGTATGCCTGACATAATTTTGCCAGCAGTTGCTACCATAGGCTTTCCCGGGACAGAAAAACCTTGATAATTTTAAAACTGCCAGTCAGCATTTCACCCAAACAATGAAAAACTCATATCCTCAACAAGCCTAAGTAAGTAGTTTCCCCAGATCTGTAGTTTACCAGGATTTTGAAGAAATGTGATATGTTGAGGCATAACTTGAGTAAAAATAAAAACTGTATCTATTTTAAGCAATTTGTAATGTTCTATCTGTGCCATGGTATGGTTTGCAGTCCTCATCAGGTAGATTATAGATAGCAAGTTTAATGTTAATAGTTCATGTGCTATTTTTACTGATAGTACAATGTTGAGGCCTATAATAGTGGACCTTTTTTGTTTCTGTGTTTTGTTATTTTTTGTGACTTAACTAAAGGGGCACTCCTGTGCTCCTTTAATAACATCCCTAGCACAAAGTACATCAGAACCCCGCATTAAGCATCCTAGCATGTTTTGTGCTTTAACCATTAATTATGGTTAGCAGGGGTGAGGGAAAAGACAATCACTTCTCAGCTAGCCTTGAACATAAAAGAGGACAAGTGGCAATTTGTCTACTTCCCTAGATTAACAAATGAAACTGATTGAACAAAATCAGACACCTCTATAAAATTAACTGTAGTTAGATGACAGCACCAACATGGGATGAGATAGGAGTGATTTATTGGGTAAACAGGTTGCTAATGCAGCACAGTTTGTTGTCAAGATTTCATCATCACTATAGGTAGGCACAATAATATGCTCTTCAGCCTCAAGAACAGCTCCACTGGTCAGCTGCACTGACAGAATGGCGGCAGAACAGAGTATCATCAGTGCCACTGAGTAGGAATTTAAATGCAGTCTTTGTGATTTTGGTAGGAGCCACCCTTAGTTTCCTACCACCACAGGTCTTTAGGAATTATAAATTTAGGCAGAAGTAGCATGGATACTCCGTAATACTCCAGTATTGCTCCACAATACTACTGTTTTTCCCTTCTTACCTTTGTTTTATTGTCAAAGCAGGTGAATCCCAAAGCGAAGTCTATGGTGAAACACAAGCTTTCTCCTTGCCAGCTACACATATAGGTTTTAGACTGAGAAAAGAATATAAAATATATTATGAACAGTAAAATGTATTCTTACACTAACAAAACCTCCAGGTAATATGAACTAGAACAAATAATAGTGATTAATGAAAATATGGTTGCAATCTTATGTATAGTTAATTGCAGTAGTTCTGCAAAAATTGATAATAAATATTAAGCCCCTAACCTAAAGCTTGGCAAAATGTCTTTACATGGTATATCCACTTCATTATAACTTTGCAAAGAGTGAAGAATACATCGTGAAAGGTTGCCTGGTGGCCTATGTTTCTGATTCAGTCAAAAGTGAATTGCACAGCAATTCTGGAAGGAGGTGGAGGAGAACAAACCGATTTTATGAAAATATTTGCTGAAAACACTACTGCACAACTGTATAATCAAATCAGGTAGCATAATGTCTGATTACACCACAGAGCTTCAGGTATGCATACACCCGTGACACAAATTACGTTAACACTTCGGTAACATACACAGACATTGCTGTGATTCCTTTCTGAAGATGAGATGGAGGAATCTGTCATTAACAGTTTCTCACTTTAAGTTTGTTTTGTTGTCATATCAGCTTTGTTGTGTGCCATCAAGTTGTGTCTGACTTATGGTGGTCCTATGAGCGAATGCCTTCCAAAATGTCCTGTCCTTCACAGCCCTGCTCAGCTTTTGTAAACTCAAAGCTGTGGCTTCCTTTATGGAGTCATTCCATCTCATATGGGTTCTTCCTTTTCTCCTTCTGCCCAATACAATTGCCTTCTCTAATGATGTGGCCAAAGTACGACAGCTTCCGTTTTGTCATTTCTGCTTCCAAGCAAAGTTCTGGATTGGTTTGATTTGGAGTTCAACATACTAAAGTGCACAGTAATGCATGCTGGGGCAAAAAATCCCAATTTCAAGCATATGCTGATGGGAACTGAACCAGTAGTGACTGAGCAAGAAAGGGATCTTGGAGTAGTAGTGGGCAAGTCAACGAAAACGCTGGCTCAGTGCACAGTTACTTGAAGAAGACAAACACCAATTCTAGGCATAATTAGGAATAGAAAACAGAACTGTCAAAATCTTACTTCCCTTATACAAATATTTGGTATGACCACACTTGAAATACAATGTTCAGTTCTGGTTGCCTTACCCATAAAAGGAGATTACTTAGTTGGAAAAAGTACAGAGAAGGACAACAGAAATGATCAGGGAGCCAGAGCACTTCCCCAATAAGAAGTGGCCACCATAACTGAGACTGTTCAGCTTAGAAAAAAAGGTGACTAAGAGACATGATAGAGGTGTTTAAAATAATGCATGGTGTGAAAAAGTGGAAAAGGAGACACATTTTTCTCCCTCTCCCCTAACTCGAGAGCCAGTGTGGTGTAGTGGTTAAGAGCATGGGACAGGGACTCAGACAACCTGGGTTCTAGTCCCCACTCAGCCATGGAGCCAACTGGGTGACTTTGGGCCAGTCACAGACTCTCAGCCCAACCTGCCTCACAGGGTTGTTGTTGTGGGGATAAGATGGAGGAGGAGAATGATGTAAGCTGCCTTGAGCCCTTTGTAGGAAAAAGGCAGGATACAAATAAATAAAAAAACCTGGGGTCATCCCATAAAGCTGATTAGTGGGAGGTTTAAGACAGATAAAAGGAAGTATATAGTATATGAAGTTTGCTGGGAAATGGTACTAACCTTGATGGCATTAAAAAGGAATTGGACAGATTCATATGGGGAGAAGATTATCAGTGGCTACTGGCCTGCTGGCTATGTGCTATTTCCTTTACCAGAGGAGACATGCCTGTATATACCAGTTGCTGTGGAGCTTGGACCGGAGGAGGCCTTGCACCCATACTACATGAGGGATCCTGTGGGCAGCTGGTTTGCACCATGTGTGCAGAGTGCTGGATTAGATGGTTTGATCTGCCATGGCTTTTCTTATGCTGTTGTGATACACTACCTAGCCTTTCTGTCCATCCAGGGTAATTGCAAAGCTCTCCTCCAACATCATGTTTCAGACTCATCCTTTTTCTTCCTGACAACATTCTTCACTGTCCAGCTATCATACCCATACATAGTGATTGGGAGTACAATAGTGTGGATGATCCTAACCTTGGTCTCAGGTGAAACATAAATATACCTGAAGACCTGTAATAGTTCCTTCTGTGCTGTCTATCCAAGTCTGGTACTTTTGGCTGCAGTCTCCCTTTGAACTGATGACTGAGCCAAGGTATACAAAATCTTTCACAATTTCCATTTCTTCACTGCTGACCTGAAAGTTGCATAGGACTTCTATAGTCATGGTTTTTGTTTTCTGAATATTCAGCTGTAGTGCTGGGTTTGCACTTTCTTCTTTCACTTCCATAAGGAATCTTTTCAGTTCTTTGCTGCTTTCTGCAGGTATAATCTGCATAACTCAATAGATCCACCAATTTTCACTCTTTCTGATCCTAATCCAACTGATCTTCATATATGCCATACATACAGACTGAACAGTTAGGGAAAGAAAATACATCATTGTCTGACACCTTTACCTATAGAAAATCATTCTGTTTTTCATGGTCTGTCCTTACAGCAGCTTCTTGTCCATGAGACAGGTACATATCAGGGCAATCAAGTGCTAAAACACACCTATTCTTCCAGGACTATACATAACTTCTTATGATCCACATAGTTGAAGGCTTTGCTATAGTCGATAAAGCATAGGGTACATAGATTGATCTTAAACTCTTTGGTGGAGTCCAATAACCAACATATATTTGCAATATGATCTCAAGTGCCTCTTCCTTTTTGGAATCCAGCTTGAACATCAGGCTTTTCTTGCTCCATATGGGTTAATACTCTTTGTTGTAGAACCTTGAACATCACTTTGTTTGCATGCTCCTGCTTTCTTTACATTTCTTTTCTTAAGGATTGCAATGTATTAACAGGTAACCGTTCAGTGTATGTGATTGTTGCTTTCCTTTGTTCTTCCCCCACCTCGCACTTTTCCCCAAATAGGTTCATTTTATATCTGAACATTTAAAACCTCCCCTATCTCCCACATGGTTGCTAAGTTCTCTCTTGTGTTCTTAGGATTTCACAAGATTTTGTTCAGTTCTTTTTTGCAGCGGGGGCAAGAAAGTCCAAAGTCATTTTGTCTTTTTTCCTTTACAGCTGGGTTGAAGGGTCCTGAATTCCTGACTGGGCTGCAGTGTACAGGAAGGAATTGCCTGTGTTGGCAGCTTATCACGAATTCTGGTTTGGGAGTTGCTGTGAAGAAGGAACTACCGGTAGGGCAATACACCCCTACTCCCAGATCTGTAACCTAGTATCTTAAGATCCTTCCATTCACTAAATCACACATTTCTATTCATTGTGATTACATTGTTCATACATTGGTGTAATTTCTGCAATGGTGGCTGTATATATGCTTCACCAGAGGACCCTTCCATCAAATTTGATTTCTGAAATGGGACAAGCCATGCGAGTATATATTCCTAGATTAGTTCCAACAAGCTTTGTGGTAACTGTTTGACAGCAACCACTGTCCCTTTAAGCTTCTGCTTCCTTTTAACTATTTCAACTTTAAAGGGGGGAAAAACTTCATTTTCTATGTTTGCTGCCTTGTTAAAATAGATGTCATTACAGTCTGAATGACAATCAGGGAATTAAATGTCTCAACTATCCTATCTGCCACAACAAACTTTCAGACTTAAACCTCCCTTTATTTGAAGACAGGCACTTCTGGGTCCATGAGTCAGCTTGTTGATTTTTCCTTTCAAAGAAGGCTCTGCACCAGCAATGTTTATTTTTTGCGACCCTCTCTAACCCCACTTCTAACACTGAACCCATTTATAATGTCTGTCTGGAATTCTATATCTACTGTCCCATAGCCACTGAGCTCAATGAGGTCAAAAAAAGAAAGAAAAGTGGAGAAAAATGGTAATGAGGCAGGCAAGAGTGCCAACAGGATCCTCTGGGCCTGCTAAAGTGGATGTGGATACGGCCCTCTTCCCCACTTGAAAATGATACAAGACCGGTAGTAATATATACATAGAAGACTAGACATGGTAATTCAAATGGGAGAGGCACTGAAAATGTAACGCAGACAAGGCTCACATGCCCATGCTTGAACCAACTATATTTCTCTAAAAAGCTTGGATAACAACATTGGAGACAACGCAGCAGGGTGGTCATACATAACACCACCGTTTTCCCTCTTGCTCATCATTTGCCACCTCCTTTCTTTCTCTTTCTAGCACCTTGCCTTGCCCTTTGCCTTGCACTCATCCCCTTATCTTCCTGCTTTTCTTCACTCCACTACTAGCCTCCTTTCCCCACCCTACCTTTGTATCTTGCTTTTTCTCTGCCCTCCTAACTTTTAGCTCACTCTTTCTCTCTCCCTTTGACTTCATATTTTTCCATTCCCAGCCTCTAGCCTTGCTATTTCTCCTTGCACCTTCATCTTCTGACTACTGCAGACATTATGGGAACTATTTTGTGGTTATGCCCACAGGGTCCCCTGTACTACACTCTCTCAGTGCCTCTCCCCCACCCTGAGTCAGTCCATTTTGGCTGCTAGCTGCTGCTTTTGGGTGGACGTGCTATTGTCTAATTACAGCTACATTAAAACCCTGGATTTCTCCGTTGCTTTTCTCTCAGCAATAAGCACTTCTTTACCAGGAAAAGGCTTTCCATCAAAGGTTCAAAATGACTCAGGAAGGCTTTCCTTTGCACAAATGGCACATATGTCCTTTGACTTTTTCCTCTATAGGGTAGCCCACCTCCATGCCAACTGCAGCTGTACAGTGGGAGGCAAAGGCAAGCTTATTTCATACAAACCAGTATCTCTCATGATAGAAGAGCTGCAGTTTGGAATGAAAGCTCAACAGCTTAGCCCCCCTGCTGGTTTCATGACTGGTATTGGAGCCCAGGAAGCAGGTGTAACCTGCCTTGGGTCATGGCCACACACTTCTAGAATAAGTAATGGAAATGATTTTCAGGTTTTCTAAAACAAAAAAAGTTATCAGGTACCACTTAAT